CATTGGTTTACTATAAAAGGGAGACACGTGGGCAACCCTTCCATGATGAAAGGGTTCAGGACGTCAGTGGAATGGGCAGCTTCATGTGATGCCTTCTCAATGTGATGTATTTCAGTCTGTGTGATTTACAAGAATTCTACCATCTCTAAATTAACTTTAAAAGCTTGTGGGCCAAGCACAGTGGCCACACCTGTGATTCCAGTTATGTGAGAGGCAGAGAGAGGAGGATCACAATTCCAGGCCATGCTGGGCAAAAAGGTGAGGGAGACCTAGGTGTGTGGCTCAAGTGGTAGAGCACTTGCCTAACACCCAAGTTCAAACTCCAGTACCAACAAATAAAATACAGAGTGTGGTGGTATACAGCTATAATACCAGCTATGCAAGGTAGAAAGTGCAAGTGTGAGACCTCATCTGAAGAAAAAGCTAAAAGGGCTGGAGGTGTGGTTTAAGTAGTAGATAACCCTTGCCTAACCAACATAAGGCTGTGAGTTCACACCTCAGTACTGCCAAGAAAACCCCCCAAAATTGTAAAGTATAGTCAAAAGTTTGGTTTCTACCAAATGAGCATTTTTAAATATCTGTGTGTCAAACTTAAGAGTCATGGAAGAATTTTCTAGTAGGAATGTGTTTCTAAGGCTCTTCAGGTGTCTTCACATCTATTTGGCACATGACTCACTTGTTGGGGCAGAGGCCCCATGTCCACAATAGGAGGCTTGAGTGTAGATGTGCTAGTTTAATGTCCATGGGTGGTCCCTTCTCCAAAGAGAAGCCAGCCCCCTGAGGCCTGGCCTGAAAGTCACTGTCTGCATTTCTCATTCATGTGAGTTCTTTCAGACTGAGGTTTTTATGTATCCAGAGCTTGGGTCTCTGGCATTGAGCTGGGAAGGCTACCGCTTTCCCTTCATCTTTTGCTGTCTGTAGCCACGGGCGTAGGCAGGGCCTTGGCATGGTGGCCGGCAGTAGTCAGCTGCTGTGGTGCTCTTCTCTTCCCCTTCCATTGCATGTCCCTTTCCTGAGGCTGTCTGCTCAGCTGGAGGTTTCTTCTCAAACTGACAGTGGAGACCTTCCAGCCCACATCTCAAAGGTGGTGGACTGGGGTCACCTGCCATGCCTGGGCTTCCTCCCTAGTGTCATTTTCCTGTCCCATGCCCAGGGTGGCCTGTCAGAAACTAGAACAGTGGCCCGCTCAGAGAGGGAACAGTGCAGAGAGGCAGGTCAGGGCGCAGCCTTGGAATAAAGTGCCGAGAGAGCTGCTGCTTCACCCTCCCTTTTTAAGTTATGGGCTCCTCCCAAATTGTTCTCAGGGCCAGCAAGCAGAACTGCCCACATAAGTTGTTGAGCATTTTGTTGCACTTAGCAAAAACAGCTCAGGCAGACTTGAAAGAGCTCCACAGCTTCCTTGGGGGCCAGTATTCTAGAAATCCTGCAACTTGGGGTTCCAAGGACAGGATAGCCAGTCTTGGTAGGGGAAAGGGCTGGCAGATCATGTTTTTAAAAACTTTAGTCCAGACTGTTTTCCTCTTTTTGGGGGTAAGCATTCTTTTATCATATTCCCTACCGTACTCCTCTTTTTCCCTCCAAAGCGTTATGTGCTGTATGGCTGTGGTGGAATTGTTTGTAAAACTGCATGCTGCCAAACAGTGGCACCATAAGAAGACTGTAGATAGGTGTATGTATGTGAGCAAGTGAGAAAGTTGATTTTCACATGTAACTTTTTAATGGCAGAGAACTGCACAGTGAGGTGGAGGTAATACCAAAGGACAGAGGAGGATCCTTTCTTAATGCCACCTCCTCTGGCCCTCACTGTTTTCTTTTTCTTCTTTCTTTTCTTTTTGGAGATGGATCACACAGACATACACACACACCAATGTATGTAGCCCAAGAACTTGTGATCCTCCTGTCTGAGCATTTGTTATCTAATGAAGGGTGTGGAGGAAGTGCAGAGAAACGGCCTAGCCAAAAGGAGGCTGCCAGAACCCTTTGTGTTTTAACAGTGCTTGTCATTGAAATGAGGAACAATCACTTACAGCTTGGGCTTAATCTTCCCCATATCTAGTTTGGTCTCTGGAGAGTAGTGTTCATGAGATTTGCAGTGCTTTCTGGATATATTCATGGACCCTAAGAAAAGAGGATAAAGATTTGTTTCAGCTGCTGTGCTGATGGAGTAGCCTGTTATACTTTGTTTCTGTAATAAACTTTCACTTCCAAAAAAGTGAAATCATTCCCACCCACCCCTGCCCACCTTTCTCTGTGTCCAGTACAGCACACTCCTGACACCAAAATGCATTTAGCCATAGGCCACTGTCAGTGGGTAATGTCTACTTAGCATTTGGGACACTTCCACATGTAGCTTCCTCTAGTGAGTCCTGGGCCAGGAGGGAACTGAGTGCAATTTATACACCACCTAATAATCTCAGTGCAGTAATTTAGGAGGGTGGCCTTCCAAAAATTTCCCCAGCCCTCTCCCCAGTGAATTACAGTACCGTACATTCTCATTGTTAAGTGCTGCTTCCAAAATGTAGCTGGTTGTTTAGTAGTTTATACTTTTCAAAAATCAAAACCAGTGTCAGGGTGTGTCTAGCAGGTGCATGAAACTGGTATAGAATTAAGACTTTTTGGCTGGATGAAAGTAACATCAAGGAGAGTTGCTCGGGTTGTCACTTGTCTGCTTTTCCAGAGTTGGCTGTCCCCTAGCAGGTGGAAGGCAGGCTAAGCCTGCGCGTGTGTGCGTGCGTGTATGCAGCAGGGGAACTCAATGAAGCCTCTCCCCTCCACCAAGTCTGCCTTTGACTAATGAGGTGTTAAGATGAGCCAGGTTAATTTCAGTAGTAATCCATTTCCTGCTGCTTTTATTCAGCCAGCACTATTCATCTAAAGGAGAGAAGGGCCCTTGGGACCTTCTCCTGAACCATCCCAGTATCTTGAGGGAAGGGAAGGGAAGAGAAGGGGCAGCAGGGTTCCCCATCCCTCATTGTAGATGCTGCAGGTACAGAAATATGTCAGACTTGGTTACAAAAATATCTGCAGACACACTCTGATACCATCCTGCTGGTGCCCCAAATGGCAGTGGATTCTCCCTCACCAGGTATGGGCTTTGCTCTGAAAAGATGATTTTTGCTTGTTAGAATAGAGGATGTATAGTGAGGCCGTACACACTTCTGCTGTGAAATCCTTTAGGAGAAAGACAACTGGTATCCAATATCTTCGAGTAATGAACTTATCAGTAACTATAACACACGAGCTCATTAATCTTAACTTTGCTTTTGGACCAAGTGGGAGCTTAGTTTCTCGGGAGACAAAAATTTCATCTCTGTTCTTTTCCTTAAACCCAGTCCCAATTTAGAGTCAAACATATTGCCCTGTTCTCCCTGGGAAGCAGTTAATAATGTGCTTTCTCCAATAACTGATGGCCCAGGTTGCTCAGGCCCCCAGGCTGGATACATGTGCACTTGCACACGGCCTGAACGCAAAGTTTCTGAGCAGGGGGAGTGCCACCTGTGTCCTTGAAGCCATTTAAGCTGCCCCCCCCCTTACTCTTTTCCTCTTCTCCCTTAGCTTGAGGAATATTGTCTAGGTGAAGTCCATTGTGAAAGTTATAGCCATTGGATCTTAAGTTAATCCAAAATCTGGTTCATTCTTGCCAATTAGTCTTTTCTTCTAAAATCACGGCCTCCACATCTTTGAAAAGAAGTGGCTACTGTGGGTGGATGAGTGATGGTTTTCTAGGAGTGGCCACCCGTTCTCTCTGTGCTCAAAGGAAAGCAGGCTGGGAGTGAATGCCCCTGGTCTGGAAGAGGGGTGAAAAGAGGAGAGGCCCTGGCTGGTAGGCTTCTGTGGGAACTAGTTCCAAATGCACAGGAAGAGCAAGGTTAGGAACACACGTGGATTTACTTGGAGGTCTGTTCTTATGGACCTGGCCTAGGCTTTTGATGTGTGACCAGTCAGAAGGATGGGACTGCAGGTGGGGAACGAGCAGCAGCACTGGCAGGTGTCTCCTACCCAGGTCTTCTCCCCACAGTCCCGTGAGGAGAGGGCCAGACAGATCTGGGGGCCTGAGGTATCCATACCACACATATGTATCATCTTTCTAGAAGTTGACCAGGGACTTGGGAGGGGAAGGGCTACATTTTGATATACCTTTGTGTTCCCTTTGTCCTCTAAGCCTCTTCTGACTCAAGGGTCCTCTTTGCCCAACCAGAGCCTTTGCCCATCTCCCTGCTCTGCCTGCCTCTCCTCAGTCCTTGGCCCATCGTGCCATCCTCTTCTCTTACGCACCAGATCAGTGTCTCCCGTGGCCTTCTCTGCCCCTAAGAGGACCCACAGCTTCCTCCTGGCTGGGGAGGCAGTACAAATGGGAGGCCCTGAGCAGGGACCCTGACTTCCTGCCCACTGAGAGGTGGAGAAGCATCAGGGTCTTTGGAGGTGGCCACTAGGGCCAGTACGTCAGGACTTTGTCTTTCCTGTTTATGTGTTACTTTTTCTAGAACCTGAAGCACTCCACTTTCCTTTAGGAGCACCCCCCACTCAATTGTGGGCTGAGGTTCGATCCCTTCCACCATACCCCCAAGTTCTGTTCTACAGGAGGTAGAGTGTAACATAAGCCCTCTTGCCCTGCCTCCTAGAAAGGGCAGGGAAAATGCTGAGCTTCTGTGTGCTTCTGCTTCACACTGGTTGGGGGTGGGTAGGGCCAGAGCCCACTTACTCCAAGGGAAAGGGCTGTGTCTCACTGTGCTAACTTGGGATCCCATCCACTGGGGGTCCAACAGGCAGTGTCTGAGCAGCTGCAGGTGGGGAGTTCTGAGGATTTCCGACCGACTGGAGCAGCTGTGGAACAGGTACAGGGCCTCATGATACAGGACCACTTGAAGCATTGTAGTAAACTCTTTGCAGCAGGAGGCCTTGCTGTGACCATTGTCCGTCCATTGAGATGCCCCCTACACTCCTGGACAAGAGAGAGCCACCCTAACAGTCTCTGCCCTCTGCTTCTCCCATTGCTGCAGGTTATGTGTTCTGTATGTTACATCGCCTCCCCGAGCAGCATGACTGTACGTTTGACCACATGGGCCGCGGCCGAGAGGAAGCCATCATGAAAATGGTGAAACTGGACCGGAAAGTGGGGCGCTCCTGTCAGCGCATCGGGGAGGGGTGCTCCTGAAGGCCAGGCACGGCCACCACATGACGCTGTTCTTAGTTCACTAATGTTAGCCTTATTTAGGACAAAGTCAGCCAGACACCTTGTACTGGGCACGCGTCAGACTACAGCCAGCGTTTCCTTTCTTTAGCCAGCCATCCTGGTACTGTAGTTTAGGGGTTGATGGTGGTTGAAATTGATTTCTGGCTGGATACTAAGGTGCCTGCTAGCCATTGTATAAAATTAAAACATGAAGAATATTTTTTTGAGCATGGCTAGTGGATTTAAAACAACACATACCTGTCACTGCTGGAGTCAAACTTATAAAAGCCTTAAGCGGAAAGTGTTCCAGATGGAGACTGAGTTAATAGAGGAGTAGAAGCTGGAATTAAAGTTCCCACGACGCACATGGCTTTGCCAGAAACTGTTTCATGTTCGGCCTTTCACCTCTTCACTTATCCTTAGTCCCAGTAGCCAGGATCTGATGGCCACACGTGCCTTGGCCACAGAAAGCTGCTGAGACTGGCCACGCGGCTGGGCTGGGCGGTGGCCTCACTCTCCCACAAAGCTGGAAATGGGGGTGGGGGGGTTCTTATGGAAATTTTTACCTGACTTGTTACGGAAAAACTCATCATACAGAGGAGAGACAGTAACGTCACTTTGCATACTAGCTCCGCTCAAGGTTAGTCCACGTGCAAGCCCCACCTTTTCTACACAGCATCCAGGGCTTTGAGAAGGAGCCCAGAGCCCCCTGACCTGCCGGCTCTGCTGCCATTTGCCACGTGCAGGGATTTGGCAGTGGGTCAGGTAAGGCTTATGGCTGCCCAGCAGCTAGGCTGGCTCTGCAGCCAGATTTCTAACTGGGGAGTTTTTAAAAAAAAAAGGTGTTTTGTAGTCACTAGGAATCAGCAGGTGTGCTGGGCAAGCTGCTGCCCGCAGCCTCCACCCCTCCCTCTTCCCCCTCCCCTCTCCTCTCTCTGGCCATAGCCTGCTGGCCCCTGTGGGCCAAGGTGATGGTGCCACAGCCTCCACTCCGTTTCTATGCAGCCCATAGTGCAAGGACAACCATAGTCCCTCTCGACCACATGGCAAGTTACCAGAAAGGCACTCAGCAGCATGCTTCACAAGGGCCCTAGGCTTGCATCTCTCTAGCACAGTGGTTTGTGGCCGCAGCCAGCTCCAAGAGTGTCATTTGCTGTGGTGGATGGGGGTGGGAGGGTATCTCAGCCTGCTTCTCTTCAAGTGGGTACAGAAGCTTAGCAGCTCAGGCCAGGCGAGTCAGGCAGGTGGGGCTGGCTAGACAGGGTTGGGATTCCCTTCAAAGCCTGGATCAGGTTGGGGGGAGCAGGGCCAGCACCCTCCGTCTGGTCTAGGCCAGTGAGGGCAGATGGCTTCTGCAGAGGCTGTGTGGGGCCGTCCAAACATGGGCCACTGATTAAGTAGTTTAACCCAGCAACTTGCTTTTGTATAAAACAAAGTACAACTCTGCCTGCAAATTAACAGTGGAACCTGCAACTACAAATGTTTTTTGGTTCAAAAGAATGATACAGGAAATCATGCTCTTCCCAACCTCCTCCTCCCACCCACCCTTCCTCCCCACCACTAGAGTGGAAATCCGCTGCAAAATCTCCAGCCTTAATTCTTACTTCAGGACCCAGACCCAAGTCTCGCTCAAAGTGCAGCCCAGGGCGGAGAGGCCAGGTCTGCCCAGCGTTTACCACTGTTGTCAAGCCACGGCCCTCTGGCCGCTACATGGCCATCCTCAGTAGGCCTCCACTGAGGCCCCCACCAAGTTCTGATCTGGAAGAGGCCACACATGTGTCCTTCCCTGCCCCTCAGGCCCCAGTAACTGCTGCTCAGAGGCAGTAGTGGGAAGGAGGCCTTGGGGAGCCATGCACACAGGGATCACATCCAGGGATCACAGCCGTGCTCAATTCCGACTGGAGAGCCCAGGTGGGGGGAAGGGCTGTTCCCCTGCAGTATCTGTTCTGTGAAGTTTATTAAATGTAAGGAAAGCTTAAATTCTTGTATCTTTAAAGAGAAAATCTTATTTAACCCTTTTGTGTTCTAGATTTACTTACAAACATAGCCTAGAGCTCAGTTTTAGTTTTAACATTGTGAAAATATTAAAAGAATCTTGTAACTTTATTCTTTTTTTCTCCTGCTGAAAAAAAAAATTAAACCAATCATATGAACGCTTGGGTTTCTCTATTTTGGCTGTTCTTAATGTTCCCTGGATACAGAAAAGTAGTACAGTGTCTCCCAGACTAGAGCTGGAAAGAGATGGGAGGAGCTCTGCATGGTATACCCAGGAAGCATCACAGCTAAATAGCTGCTTCCCTGGTGTCTGTTAGTGGTTCAGCTTTGGAGGCCTCAGGCCTGGCCCTGGGGTGCACGTGTTTCTGTGGGACCCAAACTCTTGCAGCAGCAAGATGGTGAAATCTTGGGGTGTGGGGGGTGAGAAGATGTGAGCACCAGCCCTGAGGGTCCCCAGGTGTGGGTGGGTTTGGTGCCTGGATCCTAGCACCTCCTAGACCCACACCCCACCCACAGAAGGGCCCACAGGACAGGCAATGAAGGCTCCACGAAGGAGAGTGGAGGGGAATAATTGCAGTGTGACATCTGGTATATGAGGTACACTTAGCACGTCTGGAAATGTTTAAGAAACTTGGCAGGGCTAAGGCAGAGGAATTAGAGATAAGGATCCCACAGTTGGGGCCATGAGGGTGATGAAATTATAGGAAATCCAGTGAACAAGCATGCGTCAAGGGTAAAAGTGAGTCTGGTGGTCTCCTTGCAGCAGCTTTCTGTGCCCACAGAAGTCTGCAGTGAGAGGATGGGGTGGTGGGAAGAGGAGGAAGAAATGGGAGGTTGATCCACAGCACATTCTGGGAACTTTGAGCAGCCTCTCTCCTCTCAGAGAAGGGCACAAGAGCAATAGAAAGGAAGAGTCTGCAAGACCTAAAGAATGTACCTCTTATGCAGCCATGTCACAGGTGCCCCAGGGGAGGCTCTAAAGGGAGGAAGCCAAGAAAGCAGAGCCCAGGGACACAGGGATAAGGAGCCGAGCCCTGCCAGAAGGTCCCATGAGCCTGAAAGTGGTGGCACCTGATGCACACTTACAGGGTTTAGGGAGGATCTCAGATCCTGAGATTTACAGAATATTAAGTAAAAATAGACAACTTGTCAAAAATATTAAGAGGAACCACTGTCTCTGCATGACTGGGCTGTGAGTGATACATACAAATAATAAACGGCACACACTAATGAAAATGAGCTCTGGAGGGAGGGAGGCACAGTAGAAAGGGTGAGCTCACTCGGTCTCCAGCATCTGGGCTAACAGGAGAGGCATCCGAGTGTGGTGGTTAGAATTAGGGAAGGAATGCAGTAGCTCCGTCCACGCTTCTGCAATTATTGTAACAGAAAAATTCATAAGCTTTAAAAAAAAAATGGAAGGGACCGGCTATCTCTGGTAACGGGAAGTCATCTGTTGTCTCTCCGGGCCCAGAAGCCAGGAGTGGAGCTCACTGGTCTCTCCCAGGACACCGGGATCGTCTTACCCCTCCCACTACTGCAGGTGCATTTCCATCTGCAGCTGTCCCAGTTACTGCCAGCAAACACCTCCCATGAATCTCTGCTCCCAGGTATCAGCGGGCCCCAGTTGCTGGACCTCACAGGAGAGGCCAGCGTGATGCACAGAGGCCTTCAGCTGCTTGGCATACAGCGGGTGCGTGAACCAGCCAGCCTTGCCAAGGTGTGCGGATTAGGTGACAGTAATCTTGGTGTCATGTGGTCACGAGCATCTCAGAACCAAAACCATCCTGCTTCACGTCACTGAGACCTGAACTCCAGAGGCCCCCCTTAGGGTGTTCAGGGACAGATTTCAGAAGACTTGTTCTTCCAACTCCCAGGGCAGGGGCTGGCAGAGAGACAGCTTGAGACACCTGGGTGCTCGCAGTGAGCGTGTGCCTCCGTGGGGACTCGCCCTGCCTGCCCAGAGGCGGCTGCCCTGCTGGCTGTGTGTGGCGGTCAGAGATTAGGAACACCTGGCAGCTTCCGGAGCGCCCACATGGGTGACATGGCTGTGAGGGTGGAAGAAACCTGGCCACAGGTCAGTGATTCAGAGCAGACCTTGGCCAAACGCACCCTAAACGTCATGGACGGGAACCACAGAGGACGTGCGCAGAGGGCAATAGCACAGCGTCACAGCTGCGTCCCATTCAGTAAGTCTGCTGTGTTGCTTTTCTGAATTTTTGATGTTTGGGTGTCTGTTGGTTTTTAAAACTGTTGTCATTTGTTGTGAATTCTCTCACAAATTTGATTTTTTTGTGTGCTGGGGATGAAACTCGGCCCTGTGCGTGCTAAGCTTGTGCTTTACCACTGAGCCACACCCCAGCACCTTAAAGGGGCCCCAACTTACACAAATTGTGAGCCCTGTAAAACCTGGAAGAGAGTTAAGGACCTGAGATGGTCCTTGACACTTCTTTCGAAAAAGTGGAGCCCCTCCCTTGGATAGGGGCCAGCCAGCCTGGGTGACTTGCTTCTAATCAGTAGCATGTGGCAGAAGTGGTGCTTCCTAAGCCAGGCATGGTGGCACACACCTGTAGTACCAGCTACTGAGGAAGCTGAGGGAGGAGGATTGCTTGGGGCCAACCTGAACCAACTCAACAAGAAGAGTTTTGTCTCAAAAAAAAAAAAAAAGGCCTCCTGGCTTCAGCCACTCCCACCTGACTCTTAAGACTTGTGCCTTGGGAGCTGACATGTGTGACATTGCCCCACTGGGATGGTGACAAAAAGAGAATGACAAGTGATGGCAGAGATGTGGAGAAACTAGCAGCCTTGTGCATGGCTGCTGGGAGAATGAAACGCGGTGCTGTGACGTCCACTTGCTGAGCGCAGGGACGCGCACAGAGCGCACTGTAGAACCAACGCCGTGCCCAGCAGTAGACAGACGCATGAAGGACAAGTGGACAGACAATGTGGAGCGGTTGCACGGCCACCACTCAAAGAAAGTGCTGAGCTGGTGCCTGCCCTGGCACCTGCAGTGAGGCCCCTCCCACTCCTGTCCCCTCCCTTGGTCAGTTCCAGGGAGAGGCCCTCGCCTGCTCTGGACTGTTCCTGGCTGGACAGTCCCCGGTGGCTCTCAGCCATCACCTGCAGAGCTTTTAAGAAGGCTGCTGTGGCCTTCTCCACATCAGTCAGGGTGGCTGGTGCGCCTGGCGGGGGTGGGTTTTCACTGCTGTGACATTGCTGCCCCTGCAGAA